AATTGTTTCAAAATATTTTTATATTTTATTAAATGAGTTTGGTATTTTATTTATATTTTTAAATACATCGAAATTGAAATTTCAGCCATACTAAATGGGCATTTTTATTTGTTGGGTTCAGGGTAGTATCTAGTCGAGCACTCTCGACTAGAGTTTTCTTACTTGTTATTAGTTGGGTTCAGGGTAGTATCTAGTCGAGCACTCTCGACTAAAGTTTTCAAACTTGTTTTTTAATTGCTTATCTTTAAGTTGACTCTATTTTTGTCAATATCCTTAATAATAAATAAATAAAATACAAAGTAGCTTATGCATGCAAAGGCTCAAGTGACTCGACGCCTTTATACTTTGTCATATTTTTCTTTCCGTGTTAAGCTATATTTGTGCCAAAAAGTGCCGAAAGTGCATTTCAATATAACTTACTCATGCTTCTGACTTACTCATTCGACTTCAAATCGAATGGACGTATGTTGTGAGTGAAGTCATGCAGCCCTTAGTGTGTATATCTGCCTCTCTGTCTATCTCCTTGTCTGTCTCACATTCTGTTTCTTCGTTTGTCTTTGAAAAAAGACTTGAAGATCTTATGAATCATACCAATTTTCAAAATCACTTGCTATTATTATATGCTATGACATTTATTATTCTAATTGTTTGTATTAATGTCTGAAATGTTTTACAGTCGGGATATTTAGATGTCGTGGTTCCACCGGATATCCTAAACCACCCTGATGAAAATATCAATGAAGGTGTTAGTACGGAAGGAGGGAGCATTTCCTTACTATGCAGTGCCACAGGTACCAGCAAATTATTATTATATTTGATATGAATATAAAAAATGTTAAACTACAATGTATAAGTAATTATTACGATTTCTTCTAACTCAATGTCGTAAGGTGTACCAGAGCCTATGGTTCAATGGCGACGGGAAGGCGGCAAGGATATTATAATTCGATCAGAGGGTAGAGACAAGCAAGGTGCATATTTGAATATTTTAACGTCTATTCAGTTATCAGAATAAGTCGATATTAGACACTCCTGAAAATTCATTGATTTGGCATAGACTTATACTGACATATAAGAAGCACAACTGTATGTATGAACTTATATAATTTGTATCCAAATGTATTTTCACTACGACAAGTTATATTTTTCGGCATGATGATGATGATATTACAAAACAATTTAACTACTCTTTCAATATTCAAGCATTCAAATCAGTGGAAGGCGAGCGACTGACTCTTGCTCACGTTCATCGTACGGATATGGGGGGCTACCTTTGCATTGCATCAAATGGAGTTCCACCTTCAGTGAGCAAACGCTTTGATGTTCACGTAAATTGTAAGTTACACAATATATAGAATATAATTTTTTTTATACTCTGAACCCATTGAAAATGGGAAATCAAGGTATAATGTTTTTGTTGAAATGTATGTAACAGGAGAAGGAGGCGTGGCAGACCCCACCAAGTATATACATATATTATTGATCAGGGCGAAGAGGTGATTCGATTTGTCCGTCTGTCTGTATGTCCGTCCGTTTAAACACGTCGATTTCAGAAGATATGAAATAGTGATGTAAAAAACATCGATGCATCGAACATCGATGTTTTATTACCAATTTTTACCGATGTTTTCCGATGTTTTCGCTGATACCGATGTTGAACGATGCATCGATGCTTTGCAAAACATCATTATCTGCGAATGCAGTTAACCCCATTTGAAACCTTTTGTCTTTTTGGGAAGTTATGAAAAGTACCTATCCTAATTTATTCGAAATTGCAATACAATGTTATCCGTTTATGGCATCTTCTGTTCCCTCTAAAATAATATGTAACTCTGTTTAATTTTAGTTAAATGTATAAGACTGCTATGAAAGTATATGATATATCTCCTATGTTAAAAATTTTAAAGTTAGGCCTTAAGCAAAATACTGCTATGAAAGCTCATTTTTATACCCTGAACCCATTTTCAATGGGAAATCAGGGTATAATGGGGTTGTTCAAATGTATGTAACAGGGAGAAGGAGGCGTGGCAGACCCCACAAAGTATATATTCTTGATCAGGGCGACGAGCTGAGTCGATTTAGCTCTGTCCGTCTGTCCGTCCGTTCGTCTGTCCGTCTATCCGTATGTATGAACGCGTCGATATCCGAAGATATAAGAGCTAGAGACTTCAAATTTTTTAAAAAATGT